AGACTGCTCTTCCAAAGAAGCAGCTATTGGATCTGGACAAAAATGAAACTGATTGCTTATCGGACCCTGTCATGCCTTCACTGGCAGAAGATGTTAATGCTGAAAGAAAGATTTATGGAAGAAAGGAATTGGACGCATCTACCAATTTACCTGAAACCGATAACGATTCTGGGAAATCATCTCTTCTTTCCCAAGGTTCAGCATCAAGACCGCTTATACCCCCTGGTTTTAGAAACGCTCTCTTGGAGAAGGACTCTGGACATAAAGCTTTGATTCACCCTTCTTTGAAACAGGTTAGCTCTCCAGCATTGTTTTGTATTGGTATCTTGCTAGGGCATTTTTTTTCTTGATGCATTCCTTTTATCTTTTGTTGCTTATATAGGCTGGGAAACCTGAAACTGCGGAAAGCTTAGTACATTCTGCCACGGGCCCTATCCAAAATGTCATTTTTGATAGCTTAGACAAACAGTCATCACTGTCATCAAAAGAACTTTGCCCAATCAACCAACAGCTTGATGATAAGAGCATAATTGTACCTCCTCTGAAGAAGGGCAATCAGATAGATGTTTCTGATAAAAGGGATTGGATGGATGAGAACATACATCACCCTTCAGGTATTTTTGATGCCCAAAAACTCATGGAAAATCCAGAAATCATCGAGCATGGTGCTGTATTTCCAGGGCAGAAGTTTGAAGGGAAGTCTAAATTGAACCAATCAGCATCTATGCTGGATAAAATATTTGGTGGTTCTGTATTAATGGATGATGAATCTGAGGTATTCCTTGATCAAATTTTAAGCCTACCTTTTTTTATTCCCTAGGTCTGTGGCTTTGGCCATTTTAAATTTAGAGTGCACTTTGATAATGTTACACACCTGTCTACTGTAGCAATGTGGGACTGAAGTTTCTAAATAATTTGACTTGTTTTTGAATATCTTGCTCAACTCTATTTGCTCCTTCTAGATTCTGTGATTTCTCTTCAGCATTAGGGTCTGTTTGGAACACTGGATGCCAGGGAAAAAAAATTGGGTTGAAAACAGAGAACATCTGGAGGAAAATAAATATTTGCTCATATACAAACAAAACTGGCATTTTTTCAAACCCAATTCATTCATTTGTTTGTATTAAAGAAAGATTAAAACATTAAAAAATATCCAAAAAAAGTCAAACGATCTTCCACTTCATTTGTGTTTTGAAAACCTAACATGAGGAAATAAGCTTCCTTGGCATTTTTCTTTTCCTGGGATTTTCCAGGATTCAAACATACTGCGCTATTTGAAAGCGAAGTAGTGAACCTTATATACGTATCACATCTTATCTGCCCTGATGGTTTCTTCTCTACACAGAACCAAAAGACAAATCCTGATGATAAATGGAACTCCAGAAACATTCAGTCTTCCAAGTTTGCTCATTGGTTCTCTGAAGAAGGTATGTTCTATGTTTCCATTGCTTGTGCTGGTTTTTTGAAGACTTAAAATCATTTTAAAGCTGTCATACTCCACATTGGTGCAGATAATAAGCAAAAAGACGATGCATCAACTAATATACCAAAGGATGTACTTCCATTAATTGATGGTGGTGATGTTAGCAGAACACAAGTTTGTGATGTTGTGAACTCTATTGATACCATTCTGTCTAATGCACTATCTGCTGTATCACCTGATGTATGCGAACCCCCACAATCTGCAACTGGTAAAGACGATCCAGTCCCGACCGTGCTTACTTGTGAAGATCTTGAGCAGACTATTTTGTCAGAGTATAGTGAAAAAAGTTCGAACTTGCAATCACTGTTTCCATCCTGGAGCGCAAACTCTAAGCCCAAAGAACAAAGAGAGGAGCCTGTTGATGATCATGCATCTCAGCACCTTCTTTCTTTGTTACAGAAAGGACCAGATCTTGAAAACAACAATAAGTTCCCTAATTCTAGTACAGAAGATAATAATAAGTCTGTGGATGAAGAAACTCACACTCTTGGTAAAGCAATCACTCTTGAAACTCTTTTTGGATCTGCCTTTATGAATGAGCTGCAATCCATGCAAGCTCCGGTTTCAGTTGGGCAGAAAGATGGTTTTGAATCTCAAACTGAAGTAAACTTGGCTGATAGAGAGAGAACTAATAAAATTGACAAGACAGATAACTTGTTAGGGTTGGATGATTCTCAAACTGAACTGAACCTGAAGTACCAAAATGATCGGTCATCATACAAAAACAGTGATTCTGTTCGGTTACAAAGATTTCAGCTTCCGGAAGATGAGAGCTTAATATTTAGCAGTGGTAACACAGTAAACCCTAAGGTTTCACCTTATGGGGATGATAGAACTTTGAATCAAGGTGAGTTTTTGTTACCTAGTGGCTCAAGAGGAGCTTCTATTCCGCATGGTGCACGTGATCATCAGGTGGAGACCGAGATGTTTCACAATCTTCCCGCTCAGCCATCTGCTTCACTGTTCTATCCTATGCAATATAGTCAAGGGAGATCATCACCAGTTCACCCATTTGAGACACTTCCTTCTCATTCAAATTCACAGATGAAGTTTTTGGGTCCGGATATCACAAGTCACCAGTTTTCAGGAAATATGATGCGTCCTCTAATTCATCATGCAGGGTTTGATCATCCTAACCAACATAATATGCAAATGCAGGGAAATTATCCTCACATGTTGCATGATCAGATGAGGAGTGGTCCAGCTCCTCGTCCTGGCAGCAATCAGCCAGCTGCTTTTTTCCAGGAACGGAACCAGATGCTAAATTTTCCATTTGGGGTGCGTCCACCTCGCCAACCCAGCATCGATGGTTTTGGGATTCCAATGCCAGGTAAAACTGTAAATGTGTATCTCTTGCTCTCTTGTGCAATTGTATATGAGAATCTATAAGCACACTGTCACCAGATGCTTACATTTTTTGGGATCTTTAAACCATACATTAGGGAAAGGGACTTCATGCAGAGTCTCATTTTACTCCGTGTTTCAATACAAATGTCAAATTTACCATTATTTACCAATTTATTTGCTATTAAATTGTAAAATAACCTCTTGGGCTTTATGGAACTTAGATTCTAATAATATAAGGAGTAATTTTCAATTCAGTTCTCCCAAAGACAGCTCATGGTTGAGTTAAGTGCAATATTTATATTTTAGTCAACTCAATCAAGGTACAAGTTTTTACAAATAAATGGTCACTTTTGTACTCTCAAGATTTATTCTCATGACAGTTGACTTCTAAAACTAGATTCTATTATTGGAACAAAAAAGTTTGTGAAGCATGATCCTTTTTTGGAACTTTAATCTACACGAACAGACAACCCTTTAGTGTTTTGACTTTTGTCAAAAGAATTTTGTACGTTTGGTTTATTCTTGCTTACTGCCTTGAGAAGTTTTAGCATTTGTTCTATCAGTTTAAGGATTTGAGGCTCTTGTCGTATACATGCATCCTGAGTAGGAAATGAAAAGTACTTGTCAAAACATTGCCATATTGTTTTTGCAGCTGATATTATTAACGGTGCAGGTAATCAGCCTCCTGAAGCAATCCAGAGACGTCTTGAAATGGAAATCAGGGGGAGTCCAAAGCAAATCCACCCTTTTGCTGCTACTGCAAATAGCCAAGGAATGTATGGCCATGAGCTTGACATTGGACTGCGATATAGATAGATAGAGAAAGAGAGAGGTTGCCTCCTTCCATTGCAGCTATAAGTTCGAGCCAATGCTCTATTGGTGCTATGTGCTCAATGTATAATATTTTTTAAAATCCAAGTGCCATTTAGATGTTAAAATCTAAACGTGCATGCATATCTGTAAACTGTGGGGTTCCCTGTAGAGAGAACGCATGTGCAAGGAAAAGTGTAGCGGCAGACATTTCTTGCTTCTGGTTTGCATTCCTTCTATTTAGACACTCTTCTCTTTTCTTATAAAAACATATTTTCATGATTTTGTATCATCTTGATACTTATCTGCTGTGTAGCTTCATTTTTGTACAGAACATTTTATTGTTTCTGTTTTTTGCCCCAAAATTCTGTTGAGCTCGTGGATAGACATTCGTCTAACTTCCAACCATTCAACATTGCTGCTTCTAACTAATAAGTCTAATATTGTCTAAAAAATAAATGACAAGGTGATGACATAGTATAACCAATGTTTATTTGTTTTCCTAGAATCAGACCTGGCACGATTTGAAAAATAAATAAATAAAAGGATGGGGGTGATTTGGTGAAAACGTTTTAATCAGACCTGGCACGATTTGAAAAATAAATAAATAAAAGGATGGGGGTGACTTGGTGAAAACGTTTTAGAAACAAATTATTGTAAAATATAGTGACCTTGTTTGGCAACTAGCTCTTAGATGTTAGGCTGTTAGCTGGTTAGATTACTTGGAGTTGAATCCAAAATCTCTCCCTTGTGGCACCCCCTTCCTATCAAGTGAGCTATGCCCCGGTGCTCGATGCATTAGATGTTTTGATTGGTTGGTGATTTAAGTTTGTTATCAATGAATGTTTGATATAATTAGTTGTTTGTAAATAGCTGTTAGGATGTTAAAAGACAACATATAAGGACATAAGTACTCCGTATATGTTTAGTACTCCGTAGTTTATATTTTTTACATAGTATATTATATAACTATAATTTTATAATTTTAGTAGTTAATTACTTCCTTTATTTAATACTCCCTCTGTCCCAATTTGTAAAACATTTTACGTTTACGATGTTTGACCGACGATAAAGCAAACGGATCACTGTCCTCACTCAAATTATTTTTAGGGAAAAAAATTACATATTAAGAAATTACATTAAAAGGTTTACAAAATTGCAAAAATCAGAATCAAATTTGATAAAAATTTGATATATGAAATAAGAGATTAAGAGTGATTTATGTTGATTAAGTGAATAGGAAACATGTCTTACAAATTGAGACTTGGGGAGTAGCTCTTTGGTTATATGATTATTTTATCCCCTAAGGTGCATTTGAAAATTGAAATGAGTGAAAAGGGAAAAGATTAACTAAAAACATGAATAGATTTTAGCAAGGCAAATTCACAAACACATTCTGTGCATTCCTTGAGTGATTGCAAAATGCAAATCATATTTCCTATAGCTATACAATTTGCAGTCCTGCATATGCTTTATCCTTATGCATACAAACAAAACCACAAACGCTCATACTATCAACAATTAATCAAACTGAAAACTCATAACTGCAGTAACTTCTTATTAGAAAGTTTTTTTTAATGCTATATAAGATGTAGACATATCAAACTGAAAATGATGAGGTTAGTTTAAGATGTTTATCCAAAATTAAAGAAACTTAAATGAATATGTTATTTATACCTATGAAAGAAGATTAATAGGACGACTGGATGAAAACCTTCTGTGTTGGTTATGAGTCTTCAGTAATTGAGATGAAAGAAATTCACATTCTTCATTCTTCAGTAATGAAGACAGAAATACGGCATGAGTCTTGAATGACTCCAGAGCAAATGAAACGTATTAAAGGATATCGAAGAGTTTATAAGATAAGCTAAACCAAAACGTTGCCCTTTCCGGCATTTTTATTTTCGGCATTTTGATTCCCATCAACTAATGAGAGCATCTTATTACCAAACAATAATATTGAATGTTTGAACTTTGAAGAGTCAAAGAAGTCCATTTTGGTCAAACAATCCAAAAATAGGCTCATCAACCATTTTCCGAAGACAACCAGTGTATACAATGCTTTTTGGAAATCATTTCCACATTGAGGTAGACGTGGAGTTTGGAAATTGCAACCTTTTCATTCGTTCTTTTTGGTTTATATAAATATAATTTTATAAGTTATTGTTGGATGTTCAAGAAGGTGTGGGTGGATGTCCCGAAGATACAAATCTAAATTACACTAATACATATGTATGTATAAAGAGTCATGTTCACCTCAGTTAGGACTTGGTGAGAGGCCTGTGAGGTCAAGCCCATTTCATGTGCTCGATAGAAGTTTTTGTTGAAATTGTGTGAACATGTTGTTCATGAAGTGTAGATTATGTTCATACAATTTCAGCTCAAAATTCAATCGAGAATTCATTTAAATAAATTATTGAAAAACAATACCCCTTAACTATATGATAGTGGCTCCGCTGAGAGTGGTGTGAGCAAGTAGTCCCAAGTCCCAACAAGAGTAGGTGTAAAGAAGGCAGAGTCTCGTTGGTAAAGTCAGGAATCAGCCTAGAATCGGAGTGCGAGTCCTAGTCCCGGGCTCTTATAATTAAATGTCAGGAGCAAAAAACAGCCCCACCCCCATGTGCATCCCGAAATATTACAAATTAATCGACTTTACGTCCCATCACTTCACAAATTACATTTTCAACGGGAGTGGTATGCACTTGACTATTTTTCAAAAAATGGGTGCAAAATACAATACTACGTATCATGTGCAAAGTCAAATTTGACATGTAATTGGTAATAACAATTATAAAGGATATTATACAAAACTATAAAACCGTTTCATTGAGTAATATAACAGCCCCCTGTACAAATTGATTTAAATAACTTTTATCCAAACTCCAGGACCAAAAACTCTGTTTCCACATGTATGTATGTACAGAAAAGCATCGATTCTAAGCAGACACCCAAAACCTCCAAAATGCTTGGTCGCTCCCACATGTATATTGTCTGGATGCATATTGACCAAAGTACCAAGCACTAAAAAACGGGAAAGAAGATAATGGAAGTACCCAAACCTATTTCCCCATCAGTAGAGAGCCGAGGATAGCTGCAGCTGCAATTATTTCACTGCTTTTCTTGCACTATCGTCCTTCTCTGCACCAAAATTTAAATAAATATTTGCAACGACAAAATCAGAAATATTCTATTGAGGGGCAGAACTTGAAAATTTTACACGGAAACTTCATAAGTGGACATATTTTATTACACTATGCCTCACGGGATTCCCGAAAATGATGGAGAAAGTACAATGATAGATAAGAGATGGGAAAGCAAAAAATTGGTAAAGTTCAAGGAAAAAGATTATAGTTATAGACTAGGAAAAAGATTGGGGGAGGGCCACGCCCCCTCCAGCCCGCTCCACTGGGTATGAGGAGCAATTTATTAATGGAAGGGTTACACTTGTGCTTTTGCACAGCACTGAAATGGGTAACAAATATTTAACTTACAACATCTTCAAACTCTGGGCTTACTAAATTGATAGAAAGATTCTTCATCAACATCACCGCCTATAAAAACACAAAGAGTAAGACATTTAAAGTTGGGCCACTTCAAGATGAAAACTAAGCACAAAATAATGGGCGGACCTACCAATAATCTCTACAAATTCATAACTACTCAAGTGTTAAAAAATAATGTAATATTACCATTAAACAACATTGTTTCACAGTTTTCATTTTCAAGTTAATTTACATGCATCATCATAACAGTTTCTACATCAGAGGGATTAGAGGCATACCGTCTCAATATTTATGGAGTCCATCTGTTTCAATCTTTGCATGTGATCACTTGAGTTTGGATCAAATATACTGCCTATGTAACTGTAAACTTGGGCAAAATCTGGCAATACTGCACCCATCCAAACACAGATCAGAAACACCTCATAGTAAAAGAGATCATGAAGTAAAAAACTAGTAAAAAAATTGCAGTAGAAAAAATGCATCCAAAGGTGAAAAGGCAGTTTGAACAGTGTCAAACAAAAATGCTTCGGAAGTAGGCAAGCAATAAAAGAATAAAAAACTCCACATATAAAGCAGCATCAAAAGGACAACACAGAAAAAGCAAGGCCATCCTTTTATGGTTACATGAACCTAAGATCTCAACATGAAGAGCAAACACCGCATGAAATCAATGTCATAATGAAGATTGTCAAATCCAAGCAGGCACATTCTATTAGGAAACAACACAAAATTTTAACCTCACTCAAAGCCTAACTCCATAGTTTAACATTTGAATAAAGTATATATAGCTAAAATAGTCATCCTACAATTAACTACATAATCAGTCTCCTATAAATGAATGATAGCCTAAAAGTATGTTTACTATACTGACCTCTGTTTTCCTTGCTTTGTTTCTCTTTTTCTTGACTACATGTTTCGTTAGTAGTCAAAACTCTGGGAGTGCTTTCGTTACTACAGCTTGCACCCAGTAACTGTATGTCATCTGATGAAAGATGAAAACGACAAAAAAAAATCCAGGATCAATTACCCATCCAAACCACTAGTGTCCGACAACCCAGAGGAGAAATCTACAAGAAATTATGCACACATGTCTTTACCTTTTGTCACGGGTGATGTACAAAAACCAGGCACACTACTGTAACTCCAAGGAGATAAAGCTGCACTTCCTAATGAGCTAGCAGGCACACACAAAGGATCAGGCCTAGTTACATATGCAGGTTCACCTAGAGTGGATGGTGGTCCTGTAAATTGCAATATAAGAACACACTTTTGATTGCCTTCTTCTTAATAGCAATAAAAATCGAAGTAGAAAAGTTATATTGCTAACCAGTTTTTGGAGCCTTTTGAGGGTATGGGCGAGATGCTTTTCGCTTTGGACGTGGGGGAGGTACATGTTCACTTGCCCCACTTTTTTGGACCTTCAGAAAGTACTTCTGCGCATGACTACGTATCTGTGCAGATTAAACTTAACGTTGATCATATATCGGAGACTTGACACAATCCACTTGTTTCAGTATTTTTCCCATTATGTTTTAATTGTTATATACTCCGTATATTATAATAATAGTAACATAATCTTAATTTCAGGCTCCATAAATTCGTGCTGAATTTAAACAAACGCTATGCCTAATGCAACACCAAGCAACAATGTTTATAAAAATGGCAGGCCAAAAACGTTGGTTAGTTGATGCATATCAGCATACCTGGATAACTGTCTTTGACCCAACAAAAGCTTCAATCTTTTTCCAGTCACGGTCGAAGCTGGTATATATCCAAGTGGAGAAAGTTTGAGTGAGTACTTCAAAATCAGAAAGCAAACAAAAAAAAGATCAATTTGTATTGATTTACTATGCTAATCTTGATTCTGGATGAGGTTGCTATACAGTCTCTTGAATTATCAAATTAAGATACTTCTAGTGCTAAACTCATCTAGTTACATTAAGAAAATGTTGAATGTCCTTGACAGACTTATATCATTCTCTACTTGTATAAGAAACACGGTGAGCATCATTCATGTTCATTTGAGTCCATAGTAAGGATGTTTTTACTTGGACTGAAATTCGCTGGTCTGTTCTGAACTAAATGTCTGGTCCCCTTTGTATTTTATAATTATCCAAGTCTCGTCTGGTGTAGAACTGAAAACCGTCCAAGTAAAAACATCCTAAATGACACTTGATGACACTTGAGCTTTCATCTTTCAGTTGCCTAAGGCACATGAGAAACAGAGCATCCGGAGTAAGAGTGGCGGTGTGTGGGTGGGGGAGGTACTCCACTACTCCAGGTTATCAAAATGCAATTAAGTATGAATGTTTATAACTAGGTAGTACTTCAATGACAAAATTAAAGTAATAATAATAGAGAAAGTGAATATAAATTACCTTTTTTTACCTATATACAAGTATGAGCATGTAAAGTAGATCGATCACTCTAGAACGTAAAGAGCGCAAACACATACAGAAATATGAAGAAAAATCTCAAAAATTGCAGAAAACGATAAAATTCATCGATCTACTGCACGAGGTGAAATTTCAATTCGATATACTTGAAGTTTCTCATCAAAAACGCAAAAGTTCTAGTCACTCTCCAGCCGCAAACAAAACAAAATGCGCATAGACACATATTTCACATGCAACACAGAGGAAGAGCGCGCGAGAGACAGAGACAGAGATAAGACTAACAGAGTGAGGGCTTCTAGAAACTTGTCATGCTCCTGCTCAGTCCAGCTCTCTCTGGACTTGGTGATGGTATAAGGCTTGCGCACCTTCCTGTTCGGGTCATCCGGGAGCGAAACCTCAGCGTCACGAACATCAAACTGATTGGAGACGGTGGCCGGATGATCGGGATGGAAGCCGGGAAGGGCGGCGGGTTTCATCGGATCGCCGGAGAAACAGTAATACGAGTCCTGGCCTGTTGGCGGATTGGGATAAACGGACAACATAAGTTATTATAGAGCAGAAGATGGAGAAGAGAAGCGGTTTGGCGTTACGCCTGAGGTAGGTCGGCCGGCGACAGGCAGGGAAATGTATTTATGTATGGATGGATGTGCGTAAAGCCGTAAGCCGAGTGTGTGTAGGTTTATGGGGAGAGGGGAGGGAGATCGTGACCGTCCCACGGGGGAGTTAACGGCGGAGATGGAATTGGTGGCTGAGCTGGGGTTTGGCAGGTTTGGTGGTGTTTTTAATTAGTTAATGATTGGTGGAAATTAAATTTGGACATTCTGCAGAGCAATTCAATGTAGGAGGATAGGCAGTCATGGAGACACCGAGGGCTGCTCTGGCCCCCCCAAAACTTTCTTTTCTGGTCTATACAAATACGTACAAACCCACACCCACATGTATGCATGCTACTAGTACTTGTAGGGAGGAGGTACAATTGAATCGCAAACTTTGATTGACACAATGATTAAGGAATGATAATAAATGATACTTGTTTTTTACATTTTGTCCATCTTCCTAAAAGTAGATGTGAGAAAAAAGTAAAAGTATGTGTAAATTTGTCTCTTTATTCTTATTTACATATCTAAACTAGAAAGCGAAAAACCATTTTGGGACAACCAAAATGAAAATTTTGCAAATCAAATTGGGACGGAGGGAGTATATGATAAGAAATATTCTCATAGACTCTCCTAAGTTTCTTTTAAAGCAGTAAATTTGTGGTGTTACTTGTTTTAATCTTCATCATACAAACATCAAACATACAACTTTTACTTCTCTTATTTCTCATCTAATTTGAAATTGGCAAAGTTTAACGGGACATAGGTAATAAGAAATACGAGTATGTTAGAACTTTCTTTTTTTGGTCATTCAATATAGAATATTTCATGTAAGATATTTTCAGCACACTCTGTCAATTTAGTTGTAAAATTTCATCAAAATCACATTCAATTGACTCTGACAAGTGTTACCAAACGAGTTCTAAATTTTATATCTCTAGTATTGCACTTTTTGCATTTTAGATTTTTGTTCATGATTTTTGTCGAAGTTAAAAAAACATGTGCTCCACATATAGTTTAACCATGGGAAGTTTATCTTAAGTAGGGGTGAAATGTTACTTAAATTTAAATTCTAAATAGGAGTATTATATTTTTATTTCATAAATATGACGATTGTTTTAAATTTACTCTCCTATTTACATTCAATCATGTGTGGCAACGGCATAACTAGTCATCTTTTCCACTCATCATCTCATGTTGCAACGCAGTGAGCTTCTAGGTGTAGCAAGCGGCGTTGGAGCAATGACGAACATTGCAGGCAGAGGCGAGCGATGAGCTGCAATATAATGAACTTCAATCCATATGTGGTGGCCACTTCAATCCATGTGTGGTGGCCTCAGTGAAAATCATTGTTCTTCCTCTCTCTCTTTCTATGTTTCATCCCAAGCCTTTAAAAAACTATAGCAGGTGAACTAGCATTATTGATAAAAAACTTTGAGGTGTTTCTCCTTCTGATTTTTACTTCACAGGGTGTCAATCGATGTCGTACACTCTTACCCTACCGCAGGTGGGAACCTTTGCAACATTGGGGTAATGATAGGGGGATGGTAATGATGGTGTCAACCAATATTGCATTACTCTACCAACCAAGATGACATTTTTCTGACCAAGGTGACATTTTGTTGTCTGTCCATATGGCATTCGATGATGGGATTGATGGCACTTACTTATTGTTATTGTTCTTCTTCTGCTTCACCTTCTTTGGTTAAAAAAATCAAACATTTGTTTAAAAATGTCATGAAGATGATTTTATTGCTATTAAAAAATGTCATATTTTACTTTTGTAAATGTCATTAAGATATCACTACTAATGCATGGTGGCATTCCTACAAAAAATGGCTATTTTTCCAGTCATCGACATTGACGATGTTGGTCAGCGACAGAAGATGTTGGTAATTTTTTATTTTATGATTTTTGTAAGTAAAAGAATCTCTTTAGATTAAAGAAATAATTACACATTTATGACTAAAATAAAGACTATTTACAAAAATGTGACTAGTGACTAGAGTAATAATGAAATCATGGTAACTTATATTCAATTTTTAAATTTAAGTTATCATGACACTATATTGTAATAAGTATTAGTCATATTTGTGTAAATAACTTTAGTTTAGTAATATTTTTGAAAAAAAGTACTACCTATATTACAATATGAGTAACGATTGTTGGAAAAATGTTAATAAATTGCATTAAATGGTCATTTTGGGGCAATTCTTTGAGTGGGGTCCACTTCCGATTTGGATCGGGTCAAAGAGGTCTCGGATTGTCCTTGCTAAAGGTTACAATTCGATATATGGTACACTCAAAACGGATAACGGGTGAATGAGAAATTAATTCTCGAAGTTCACTCGTTAAAATGGAAAAACTGGGAAAATGATGGGTTTTTTAGTGGGATTTATCCCACACCGAAAAACTCAAGGGATTTTCACCCCTTTATAAAGGGAACCCACCTAGAAGGAGTTAAGATTCCTACGGGAAAGGCTCTCTTCGCGCGCAAGGGGGTGCCGATCAAATCCCGAAAACGGAGGCGGAAAATCGCGACTCGTGTGCACGGGCGACCTGCGGACACGAATGTCGTCCGAAAAATGTATCATTCAAAGATACGATTTAATTTTTGTTTTTTTCCGTAACGTTTTATATATTTTTTCCCAGAATCAGAATTGCTCAGCGGCAGAACTGCTCCAAACCAGAAGATATGAGAGGGTCTCTGTTGGCTTCAAAACCAGAAGACCATGAGGTCTTCTGGTGGCTTCAGACCACCAGCCCGGGCACGGGTTATCATGGGATGACGAGGGTGATGGGGGCTGGTCGTGGCAGTGTGTATTGGTGAGGTAGAAACCGAAGTTGTGGTAGGAGAGGAAGTGGGGGAACTGACGAGTGGAGTTGGGGGGATATACTGGAAGATGTGGGTGTATAGGGAATGAGTGTGAGAGGGGAAGATGAGATTGAGAGTTTGGGAGGGAAGAATATTGTATAGATAAATGGCCATTTTAATTGCATAGGGCCAAAACGTAGGGGGTAGGGAATCATGGATAAGGAGAGTGCGGGCCATATTATTAATGATTCGTATGGTGCATTCTGCTTTACCATTTTGTGGGGACGTATATGGGCATGAGTACCGAAAATGGAGACCGTGAGAATCTACAAATTGGCGAAAAGAATTATTGCAAAATTATGTGCTGTTGTCACACTGGAACACCTTGATACTTTGTTCAAATTGAGTTTGTATAAATTTATAAAATTTAACAAACACAGAAAAGTTTGAGACTTGTGATGGAGTGGGAAAATCCATAAGAATTTAGAGTAATCATCCAAAAATTAAACATAATAACGATGACCCGTGGTACTAATAATAGGAGAAGTCCACAAATCACTATGAATGAAATCAAACGGTTTGGATGTTATAGATAAAGATGAAGTAAAAGAAAGCTTAATATGCTTGCCTAACTGACAGGAGGTACAATCAGATGACCTCGTTTTATTACATGAAATAATTTTATTGGTACTAATAAAATTAAAAACTGGATCGTCGGGATGACCAAGGCGGCTATGCCATAATTCAGCGGGTAAAGTGAGGAGGGCAACGGGTGGCAAGACTTTAGAAGTGGATGATGATGTGACGGGGTAGAGATGACCCGAACTATTGCACCTGAGAAGCTGTGCCCCCGATTGGAGATCCTTCACAGAAAAACCAAACGGGTCAAATTCAACATAGACGTTATTATCGGTGATTAATTGTCTAACTGAAATAAGGTTTTTAATTAACTCGGGTGCATGAAGAACATTTTTTAGGGAAAGGGGAGGGGAACACGGTAACATGGTGTGACCATGACCGGAAATTGGAATGGAAGATCCATTTCCAACCATGATGCGATTAGAAGTGCTCAAATTAAAATAAGGAGAGAGGGAACCTGAAGAGGAGGTCATGTGCGAGGTTGCCCCAGTGCCCAAGTACCAACTGTCATCCGGTGGTGTAAGAGTCATAGAGTTCATGGCGGCCTGTAAATCCGTCGGAGTTGGAGCAGCAGTGACAAGGTGAGCCTGCTGGGGACGAGGCCCAAGAATCCCGGTAGTGGGACTGGGTGCCGAGGCTGCCGGATTCTACCATGGGACCGAGGGGAAAGGGCACGACAGTACAACCCAAGGACTACCGTGGGACCAGTAGGCGTAGTGGTTGGGAGGCCACTGTCCGGGGTATGGAGTCGCATAGTGTTGGCGCATACCGTCTGGTCGTGGGGTAGATCGTTGTCGGCCGCCGCGATTGGAATTGCCCGCGGGTTCAGGCACCCCGATTATCGGTACGAGCTGGTCGGGGAGAAGGAGACGACGGATCCGCCGCGTGGATAAGAGCAGCGGACGGAGTGACCTGTTGATGCTTGTGGGATTCCTCCAGGAGAAGCATGGAGCGGGCCTTGGAGAAAAGAGGTACTGGATCAGCTTGTTGAATGAGATCAGAGAGGCGACAATGTCATATTGTTCCGGGAGTCCGTTGACCATGCGCAAAACAAGTCTCAGGCGACAGTGTCATATTGTTCCGGGAGTCTGTTGACCATGCGCAAACACAAGTCTCTGGTTAGAGACGGGAGAGTCAACGTTTGCAAGTTGATCCGCAAGAACCTTCAAAGTCTTGAAATAAGCGGCTATATTGGGGAATTGATCCAACCGGATGTTGGAGAATTGATTTTCAAAGTACGTAGCCCGGGAATGTTTGTTATCTTGGAAAATATCTTGGAGGTGTTCCCAAGCATTTTGAGCCGTGGAATCGGGCTCAATGATAGTATGAAGGAGATCATGAGAAATAGTGTCATAGATCCATTGTAACACAATGGCATCAAGGCGACCCCACAAGGAACGAGCTTCAATATCAGCGGCTTCTTGGGCGAGGCGCTGCTCGAGGGTGAGGGTGGACGGTGTGGCAGCGGTGATAGTGGGGGTAGAGGGAGGGATAATATGATCAATAACTTGGTATGCTCTAGCGGTGATTTTAAAAAGCTCGGCCCAGGAGGAGTACTCCACCGTTTCAAGGTCAAGGGTGATAGTGATGAAATTTTTGATATTAGAAATGGCAAGAGCGGGATGAAATTTGGGGGAAGCCATTCGAGAAGAGAATAGGGAATAAAGGCTGCTCATACCAAGATAGAACGTATAACTCTATGGATGTTTATTCATTCGTAGCAATTGTTTAAATAAGTATTACAAGTGGAGTCATCTGCATCCACGTTTATTGGGATAGCTATTATCAATAGAAATTGCCCTAAATAGGAGCAAAAACGTTCTAAAATTCCAAAATAGGAGTATCATGTTTTTATTCCCTAAATAGGGGTAAATTTCTGCCAAGTTTGGCATTACTAGGCTATTAAACATGGCATTTTTTCCAAACTTGACAGATTACTTCTATTCAAGGAATAAAAAACATGATACTCTTATATCGGAATTTCAAAACTTTTTTACTTCAATTTAGAGAATTACTCTATTATCAAAGACTAACAACTGGAGGCGTATTAGGCGCACAGCTCAACTGCCTCGGTGGCCGTAATTATCCCAAACAATAAGCATAATATAATTAATAAATTAATGGGTTTAATGCACCAAACCCCCTTGTGATATGGAAATTCGGTGCATCAGCTCCCTGTGATTTAAAAATGCATCAAACCCCTTTGTGTTTTAATTAATATGCACAGAACCCCTTTTATGAATAAATTTAACGATTTGAAAACAACTTTTTCTAAACTCCCTATGACTCCTCCCTATACAAAATTTGTTCTCCCTTGGGATGAAAACCTAACATTTGGGGTTTTCACCCCTCCCATTGCAATCAGCCTAAGCAGTCTAGCTATGCCAGCGGCCCAGGCGCCCAGCACGAAGAAGCATTGAATTAAATGCTTAAAATAGAAACTCATGTGTAGTATGACATCTACGTTTGACAAGCAAATGTCTATACCCTCCAACTCCATAATGTAGTGTAGAACTAGGCTACCAGTTTTGGTCAATACTTTGTTCCTATTGAAGGACATAAAGGCAATTTTAAATTAATTTACTAATTATATAGTATAAATGCAAATTTAATTACTTTTTCCAGAACTGTAGGACTTATTAAATGATGTCATTGTGAAGGATTGTAGGTAAATGCAAAATTCAATTCATTATAGAAGTCTCTAATTTTCATCATATGTTGGACTCTTGCTAAAAAACTAACTTTAATCATATTCAACTTTACATTGCTCATTATAATATTTATATTTCCCCTCTTTTCATAACAATGTAAACACCAACTCCATTTCTTTCCAATTAATTTTTTTAAGTATATAAACTCTATTCTCTTTTCAAGCTTTTTACAAGCTATATTGCTATAACTTGATAAAACTTTGGTGCTACTATTAATGTAAACAAACAATACTCCCTCCATCCCCCAATTAAGTTAACACTTTCTTTTTTGGACAGTCCCTAAATTAAGTTCACACTTCCTTACTTTCCTTATTTGGCACATTATCTACATCAAAACAATGTCAAACAGTGCAAAACAATGTCAAACAGTGCAAAACAATGTCCAAACAGTGTTTGAACAGTGCAAAACAGTGCACTCCACAGTAAAGTCAATTTTATTTCCTTAATATGTGTGAAGTCAAACCGGGAACTTAATTGGGGGACGGAGGGAGTACAATATTATTTTTTCAAACTGGATGAAAATCTAGTTTTATCCAATCGAATGTCATTTTAGAGTACTAAAATTTAAAAATTGAATGACTTCAGGAGACATGAATCAGAATGACCATTTTTTTCTGACAACCACAACTATTACACATTTTCACCTCCCATTTTTGAGACAAAACTTCACCTTGAAAATCAAGAATCTAATACAGTAATAGAGATAAATTTCTTTTGAACTTAAAATCAGCGGTCTCCATGTCACTAACAAACTCAATACAGGCTGTGGATGAGGACAGAGGGGAGGTAGACAGTAGACTAAAACTCATAATTATAACAACAACACTCTTGACGTTGAAAAGGACTAAATGCTTCATGAGACGAGCTTTTCTTTCCCTTTCAAATTCATTTGTATGCCACCTGTTCCTACCTACCTAACTAATCAAGCCAGCGTGTGATGCCGTCTTCCCCAATTGCTGCAAGGATTTCAATACGTACATCCAGAATCGCCTGGAAGGGTGCAAACTTGATGAGAAAAATAGTAATTTCTAAAGTTGGTAGCAGAATGTATCTTACAACTTGTATAGGATCAGCTAATCTTATCTAATTATGCCTGAGTAAAAATACTAGTGTCTACAATGAAAAATTGTAGAAGTTAGTTGAAACAAATAGGTTACATGAATGTAGTATATAGTATCGGTAATACGATAAATTGTGTTTGTTAAACCTTCTTACTGTTATTTTTTTTATAAATGATTAGTTATCAACTTCAAGTCTAGTTCACCCCAATGTCAAGTGGTTGTAACATAAAAGTTAGTTAGTTGCTCATGGCTTAGAATAAAGGAACCAACCAAAGGATTTCTGCAGTTAACAAGCCTACATTCCTCCAAAGAACCTTCGAAGGTCCAACTTTCCCAAACATCAAAACTGTGACTGGCAAATACAAATTCCATTCGCCTATTAATCTGCAACATCACCAAAAATGGGTTCAAAATCCCACACAAGCTCTAGCTCACACATTAGTATTAGCATATAAAGATCATATGCAACCAAAATGTGCATTGGTCATGTAACCGCTCACAAAGTTGCATCTGCAAGTAGTAGAATAATGTAACTTTTGGGGCCACAAAACCCAATGATGTGAATATCTTTTGTTTTAAGATATACTCTATCCGTCCAAAGAAATAATCCGGTTTTAAATGTCAATATTCAAGTAAAACTCCTGTAAAGCCAGGTCGCACGCAGTTTTAGTGAATTACTCCAAACAATCTTGAGAATACGGTTTACAGGTATATAAGTGACCATTAATAGCTTATAATAACTTGTATCGTGATTGGGTTTGACTACAAATGCCTAATCATACAGCAATTAGGCCGGCATTAATGTATGGCGTAGAGTGTTGGGCGGTGAAGCAATGCCACATTCAAAAGATGAGTGTGACAGAGATGCGTATGTTGCGTTGGATGTGTGGACATGCCAGAAAAGACCGCCTGAGGAATGAGGTAATCAGACAAAAGGTGGAAGTAACACCTATAGAAGATAAGATGCAAGAGTCTCGTTTGCGGTGGTTTGAGCATGTGCATAGAAGACCGAGTGATGCACCTGTTAGAAGACTTGAGGGGTGGGGAGAAGAGTCAGAGAAGAGAGGGAGGGGAAGACCTAAACAGACTTGGATTAGAGTAATCAGAACTGATATGCGTCTTCTTGGGTTGGATGAGAGTATGGCTTTGGAGAGAGCAAAGTGGAGGGCGCACATCCATGTGGACGATTGATGTCTTGTCTACCTTTCCTCTCTTGATTCTTTTATCGTTTATCTTCCTTATCTTTTTATATTCTTATGTTATTTTTATCTTCTAGCTTTTTTATGTTCTTTTATTTATTTTTCTTTTATCTTGGTTATATTCTTGTGTTATTGTTATCTTATATTTATGTATCTTTATTTTATTCATTTTATCTTACTTTTTTTTCCTTTTCTTGTCCGCCTTCTCTTTTTGGCATCGATATCATAGATCGATTCATGTTAGCCGACCCCAAATTCTTTTGGGATTAAGGCTTGGATGTTGTTGTTGTTGTTGTTGTACTCAAACTGGACTTGCTATCTAGGATGGAGGGGTTATTGTCACAAGGAAACCATAGTTACAAAAACTCTGTTTACCATTTGCATAGGCATTGAAAGAAATCTCAATACCCATGATAGATGCATTTTCCCTCGTTTGCAATGGAGCCAAAGACTCGCTGTTTTTTGGCTTGAGAATATGATGGAATAAAGCAAAATGACTTACTAAACTGTCTGCACTTCTTTGTTACGAAGCAGCAGTCAGCCCATGCAGTTTTCGACGCAATTTCCCTCTCTATGTGCTTTAGTACAGGGGTAAGACTGCGTACATCCGACCCCCCTTACCCTACTGGGGTAAATGATTATGACGATGACGATGGTGGTGATGGTGGTGATGGTGACCCATTGACCCATGATAGATGTAAAAAAAGTAGGCCTTACACTTCTGTACCTTTTACCATTAGTGATTAGGAGGAAATAGGCAATTTCAAAGATGGATGGGTTCAAACTTCATGTCAAGATGTGCATGAATAAAGTACCCAAAAGAAGTTTGTGCCAACAAAACATCAATGAAGCAATAACTAGGGGAGTGGATTTGCTAGAGCTCATAATATGTTTATTTACTCACAACATAATGTTAATGTGCCACTATCTTAACATCCATAATAAAAGGTCAATCCGACATTTTTCGACCATGTTCAAACAACTATTTCAGCAGAACAAATTTACTCATTGTTCAATTTAGAAGGTTTTATGGAGAATTCCCTAAACGGGAGTAAAAAAGTTTTGAAATTCCAAAATAGGAGTATCTTGTTTTTTATTCCTTGAATAGGAGTAAATTTCTGCCAATTAGTTTGGCATTACTAGGCTTTAAAACATGGCATTTTTTTCAAACTTGGCAGATTACTTCTATTGAGGGAATAAAAAACATGATACTCCTATTTTGGAATTTCAAAACGTTTTTGCTCCTATTTAGAGCAATTTCTAAAGGTTTTAATTGACGTTGTTATGTGTTCTTTATTTGGGGTGGAATTGTAAATCCATAAATCTTTCAACAGCTACACTTTTTATCGTATGAATAAGGCATGACTTTTTCTAAAAAGTGCACAATTTCACTCATTGGTGAACAGAGAAATCAAGAAAAAAATGGAATTAGGATACCTTATGCATGGTGGCGTGGATAAAAGATATGATACAATCGTGAGTTGTTACTTATAAAAGCATCACCAAAGGACTCATAAAGAGATTCCTTTTTATAATTAATTTAGAGTCAACATCATATTTTGTGTATGTCTCCAAGTAACTCTTTACATTACTAAATAAAAATAAAGTGAAATTTGGCACTTCAATTGTAGAGTCTAAGCTGCTCTGAATATTAAATTATTAAGGTAATTCTATAAAAAAAAATGGGGACAAACAGCCTTTAAATTTTTAAAAATCAATTATCATTAATGAAAAAGAGGTATTTAAACTTTAAAGAGTCGTGTCAGACCTTTAAAAGTTTTACAAACTTGGTTTACAAAAGATACCTCAAAATGCTCTAACGTACACAAAACACCTTGTTAGTTGGATAAATAGACATCATTCTCACTGCATAAAAAATAATGGCTATGAATATTTTCCCAACATGTATAAAACAAGCCAAACCTGCAATAGCTTTCCGCCCGCAGTAAATGATCTTAACCCAATTGTATCCTGCAAAGACATCCAAAGAATCGATTAGCATCAGTTTCTATAATTCTTCTCTCCTTTTTCAACAAATTTTAAATGGCTTAGCTGTGCATGTAAAATGCAGTTCAATGAATAAAGACCATTTGCAAATATCACAAACCAATAAATCCAAGTGGATTTGAAAGGAGTTTTTGGTATACAAACCTTGCTTCTGAAAGCAACAAGGAATTGTGCCGCAGGGTCTCTCTTTGTGATATTTGACATTGTATCCAGGAACCAACCTCCTCCTTTAACTCTTTGTCTTGAAACGTGGAGTGCAGGATGATGTCTTGTATGCAAAGCAATGATATATCCATCTCTTAATAGTTCTCCTGATTTTCTACTGATATTCGTATTTGATTTCAGGGTTTTTTCTGAGGATGATTCCTGTATGAACTCATTTGGCGTTTTTCTACTTCTTGCACCTTCTGGAGATGAAAACCGTGGACTGGAACTCAACACTTGATCAGTTCCACTCAATGTAGTACCATCTTCATTTTGTGAGGTACTCTCTTTCTCAAATTTGATGTGATCGTCTACTTTTTGCTGTGACTTTTGACGAGCATGCCGCTTTTTAGCCTTTTTACCAGATCTGCTTCTCTTCACTTCGGATCTTTCAGAAACATTTTGAGACAAAACAGACCCCTGAGGCTGAGTAGGAGTTCCCTTTGAATCACTTGCCTTGTTCCTAGAGCTCTCTGCAGTCAAGTTGACATCTTCATTGTATCGCTCACCAACATGACCCTGCAAGACACTCAGACTACCTTGAGTGTTACACTCTTCATTTCCGTAGGCAACCTCACTTTCCTCTTCATCGCCAGATATAGCATCCTTTGGAATTACACCATCCAAGAAGAATGCCTGCAGCATGGAAATAGCTTTCTCCCTTATTTCCATCCACACTTCTTCACTGTAATCTGCACTGCGTGGAAGTATCAGAACATTGGGCATCTCCTTGATCTGATGGCATAGCATAAAAATTAAATCAAGATCAATGTGATACCATCATACTGACAGCCTGATATTTTAGCCCCTGAAATACTTTTGCCTCCGTGAATATTTTGCTATCTATTGTTTTATATCATCAGTTCACTATCTTAAGTTTGTCTAATCTCTTAGTATGACTTGATAGTGCACAAATAATAATAATAATAATAATAATAATAATAATAATAACAGAAATGTAATATAAATGTATCACACTCCAAGCATATTCCTCCTAATATTTCATACCCTAAACCTATGCACCATACCCATGCTTCCATCCACTGTGGCCCTTCAGCTCCATCCAAAGCACAACCAGCAAGAGAGCCATCTATCAGAAGTTGCTTTACCGCACAATCATCTAAAAGCTGGCAGCTACCAGTATTGACGAGAAACGCCCCTGCAATAACATCCAACTAACTGATTCCTTATTCTAGAAGAGCTACATCGATATGTATCTTACGTGCAACTTGAAGTTCAAAAGTACCAGGCTTTATGTGCTGCAAACAGTCTGCATTAATAATCTGAACTGTTTCATTTGTTAACGCACAGTGCAACGATATGACATCACTTGCAGCCAGCAAGTCATTAAGGGTATCCATTCTCCTAGCTGCAGGAGGAAACCGTATAGAGGTTTGACTAACTTCTCCATTTCCCTGATCATGTTAGATTCACAAGGAAAGTTGGTTAGAAAAAAGCTCAAGTACATTACGGACTGTCACTTTTAAGGGATATGTCCAATTGCCCATTAAAGCCCTAAAATCAAACTGTTAAAGTAATCAAGTGTGCCACAGAAACTAACTATGACGAGTCCTACATCCAGAAAAAACATGTTTTGGTACACTTTATTACTCCATGCGTAGTAGTGAATTAGTTTTTTATTTACCTAACCTAGCCTTATATGGTCATTAATATGTCCAGACCAACCAAAATGTAGCTTGGAGTCCCATATGTTAGTTGCATCACTTACACAAGAATTCTTCTAACATCTTCTTAAGCTTATTAATAGTTCATATCAACCGAATTGCGCCATAGTAAATTCCATATACCTCTTGAACATCAAAATAGAGGACGCTCATCTTGAAGGCCAGGCTCCTAGTAGCCAAGGACCTCGCAGAAGCAGATCTGCCAATGATCCCTAACACAAGACCCCGGCAACGGCGCATACCACGGCAAAGAGGCTGGACTGAACCAAGCCAGCCAGAAGCAGATAAAGCATGCGTGGAGAGCAAATGCGTGCGACGGAGTAAGCCGAGGATGAGAGCCATAACCGTGTCAGCAATCTCCTCTGCCCTACTACAATCAACGTGTACTAGTTGTGTGAGTCCGAGGTCAGCTGCGAGCGCGGAATCCACACTCCGATCAGATGAGCCGAGGCAGAGAATGAGCTGCCATGGACGAAGCCTGCGCTGGGCGGCCCGCGGGAGGAAGGCCAGAGAGTGAATCAGTACGGCTGAAGCTGACTCGATCCTTGCGTCGGCAAGCCGGCTAAGGGGGACGTGCTCGACCAAAACAACGCCGCCTAAGCAGTCCTGCTCGAAGGACGTGTCCTCGATGCAATTCAGAGTGACCACGAGAGGCATTTGCTGTTTCTGAGATGTAGGGTTGCTCCGGTGCTCCATTCCCGCTGGAGATCTAGAGGACGACGAATACTGAGACTCTTTCAGCTTCAAATTCATCACTTCTGATTCCTACACCGCAATTCGTAGTATGCAACGGGACTGTTCTTCCCCTGAGCTCGGAGAAAAGGAGCAAAGTTGAATTGAGTTGGAGAGCAGATGGACCCTAGCCTTCCCTCTCTTCTCCTACCTGCATCCTTTGGGAGTGTTGCTGATGCAGAACAGAAGCATTTTCTTTCTTTCACATAAATGTCCTCCATAAATGGCATATTTCCTATCATGTCCCAAATTAATTTGGTTTATGCCAATACGGCAATACAGTCTACACTGGAGTGAATTAGTTCAGTCCGCCTCCGGACCGTGTGCATGTCTCAGGATGGGAAAATTTCTCTCTTTTAAACGCCAAGTTTTACACGCTTGTCAAATTGTCTATGTACAGATAATTTGATCGACTACACAGACATATTGAGCGGCGATTTTAAAAATGTTTGTATTACAAACACTTTATGAAAAATTCAGATATAAAATGTCTGTGATACAGACAATTCTTGTTATTTTGTCTGTATGGAAATCAATTTTCTTCATAAAACGTCGGTCAATTGACATTTGACCGGCGTGTAACCCGGCGTTTACACGAAGCGGGACTCAGATGGATGTTATATCTAACTCGGTTAGCTTGAACCCCTATTTTTTGCATTGGAAAAGGCATGTCAATTAAGTTTTTGTACTTTTAAAAAAATTAATTAAATTCTCGAACTTTGTAAAAATGTTCAATTGAGTCTTTTTTTAGGTTATTTACCATATCAGCAGGTCACCCGCTAACTTGACGCACACGTGAGGATCCATATGTGTGCCACATCATCAACAATGACTATTTGGACTTTCACATGTGCCGATTGGTCTCACATGTGTGCCACGTCAGCAGGTGACCTACTGATATAGAAGTAACCTCAAATAGACTCAATTGAACGTTTTTGCAAAGTTTGGAGATTTGATTGATTTTTTAAAAGTAGTAGAACATAATTGACTTTTACGTGATATTACGAGAACCAAATTGACAGTTTTCTCCTTTGCATTTTATTGATGAATTTAGAAAAAGACTTTTTTACAGATTTTATGAGTGTACACTTTTACTTACGTTTGTGAATGTTTTTTATTCATTTGTGTACACCCTTCACCACATTAACAAAAGTAGCTAGAAAGTAGAGAAAAGTATTGAAGTAGTTCATTTAGGGGTGTTTGGAACTAATTCTGATTCTGCTTCTTTTTTAAAGCAGAAGCAGAATCAGAATCAGTTTTCAGAAGCTGGTCACCCCCAACTTCTAAAAAAACTGATTCTAGGAGTAAATTAGAGCACCAGAATCACTTCTGCACTTTTACCCAAACACTCCAACTTCTGCTTCTGCTCCCTGAAGGAGCAGAAACAGTTTTAAGAATCAAATCCAAACACCCCTTAAAATGTGTGCATTGTGTCCACACAACATGGTATATGGATTTCATTACTAAACTCCATAACAATAATATTATAGATGGTTTTTCTCTTAAAAGCTTGAAATACCAATTATTTGCACACTTCAATCACTTGTATTCCTTAAATGATGCTAGTTCAACGACCATAGTCAAATTACACGCGAAACTAACCGGGTCAATCTCCAAGGTAGTGTTTTATATCGTTTCAGGCTGTAGTGCAAGGCGTTAGCTTATTGCTGAAAATATGAAGATGACTATTAAATTGTAATTCCTTTAGGGTATGTTTGGGAGTTTGGAGGGAAGGGGAGGGGAAGGCTTTGGGAGTATGTTGTTGGAGAGGAAAGAGGGGGGAGAGTGAGGAAGCCCTTCTTTGTATTTGGGAGTAATAAAATTAGAAGGAGATGATTTTTGAAGAAATTATAATTAAAATTGCTTTGAGATATGACGAATTCAAATTATTGAGCTGATATTCATTTCTAATTTAGCTTAAATTATCATCTTGTTAATTATCGTCCAAAACCCTCCAAATTGGGGGAACTTAAAAGTTAAGCATTTGGAGGGTTTTGAAGGGTTACAAAAGCCCTTCAAAACCACCTCTCCAATTTTTTAAACTTTCAAACATGAAAAGGAAGGTCATAAACCCCATTAACCTTCTTCTCCCCTTCAAAACTCAACTCCCAAAACTCCGCAGGCATATATGCTTGATTAATTGAATTGTCGTCGTTTAACAATTCAACTACTCTTTCTCAAGGTCAAATCAAGAGTGAAGATTATCACCAGGATCGAAGCATATTTTTTCATGTGAGCAATGAGCTATGAGCAATACAAATATCTAATTGATCTTTTTAGAAGGATAAGCCAAAATAACTAAGATCTAACTTGATTTTTTTTCAAATAATAAATGCTTAAGCTCCTACAATTCGAAACAAACGTCCCCTTAGAGGCTTCAGCATCACTTTAACTTGCTTTGTCCATAAAGCTTGTGTGATCACTTTCTCCCTCCCTAAAGTGTAAGAGTGATAAAGTGATTGAGATCTTATGGACAAATCTTATTAAGGAATAAATAGGAGGTCTGGTTGGAGCACGCCAACCACGTAATGTTTCGCAATTTTTTATTTACTTCATCCATTTGTACCATACTCTTCATCTATTTTGTCCAAAATATTTTGTTCAAACTCGATTGACTTTTGTCCCTCACACAAAATGGTATGTTTTTAATGTTTCATAGTCCGTATAAACTGACGTATTAATGTATTATAAAAACAATATCATCATGTAAATTAGCCATGGGCACGAACAAACATTATACTTCTTTCGTAGACTCGTAGTATTGGTAAATTAGCTAGACAGTGTATAATTTGAAAATAAGAGTATTATATTTTTTATGGTGAATAGGAGTTGGTCACTTGGTTGTTGCCATCCAAATATCGTAGTGTCTGCCGGGTGAATTGGTGTGTCTAATCAGAAAATAAAATATTAAATAAATAAAATAGTCAAGAAAAACGGAATTATGAAGGAACAGAAAGGTGAAGTTTGTGTAACGCATAATTTCCTTAAAACCTATTTGCCACCTCCAACAATGCTATGAGCATTGCAGCAGTAGTTTTTCAGGATAAGGTGGCTACGAACAACTGTATGAGCACACAATTTGTTGTTTTAGAAAGATGGAGACCGTTTAAGTTGAAAAACAACGTGCTGATTGCTTGATTCATTGTGTCGTGTATACCGTGTGCTGTTGAAAATCATTTGCATTGTGTCGTGTATGAAAATCACTTGCTATATATGTTGACGTATTTGTTGTGTGTTAAGTGAGTTTTAATGGATCTGAACGTTGGACACAAATGACCTAAACGTCAAACATTAGTGTCGAAAAACTGTCCATTTAAAGACGTATTAAAGGAGAAGAACATTAGGCACTAAATGTTGTAACGGTTCGGAAACCTTCTTATCCAAGCAGTTTTTCACCCCATTATAAAGGTTTCTCTCTTTGAAGGAGTTAAGATTCCTAGGTGGAAAGACTCTCTTCACGCGCAGGGGCGGTCCCGATCAAATCCAAAAAACGGAGAAAAAAAAGTTCGACGTGTCCCTTGGGTTTTTTTGGTGTGGAATAAATCACACTGAAAACTCATCATTTTCCCCGTTTTTTCCATTTCGACGAGTGAACTTCGAGAATCACTTTCTTATTCACTCGTTATCCGTTTTGAGTGTACTCTATATTGAATTGAAGCCCTTAACAAGGAGAATCCAAAACCACTTTGGCCTGAACCAAATCGAAAGTGGGACCCACTCAAAAATCTGCCCAAAATGATCATTTAATGCAATTTTAACACATTTTTTCAACTGTGTCATATCTTGGCATTGTCGTACATTCATATGGCAGAGTGGCAGTATTACTCCCATAACGGATACTCCTCTGTCCCAAAAAGATTACTCATATTGATTTTTTTTGTCAATATGAAATTGTATGAAAATATTTTATATTAAAAATATTTTATAATAGCTAAAATGAGTGTCAAAACTTTAATCAAGAAAAGTCAATATGACTAATTTTTGTGTGATGAAAGTAGTACATAGTACTTTGAACCTATGATAGTAATTACTCATATCTACAAAAAATATAGTAGTCCCAGTTTCCAACCTCATATAATTATGGAATCTTGTTTGTATTTAGTGTAATTTTTTCAACACCTTTGTGTGTTGTACTTTGATATACTACTTTTAATCTTTCATCAAAAAGGCAAAATTGGTAGAGTACGTTGATCCTTTCACAATACTACTCTCTCATGGTAGTACTATTGCTTTATCAAAATTTAATCTGTCATTTACTCCGTATTTTGAAAAAAATAGATTAGGCGAATTTATTCGGATTTCTCCTTTTTCACCGGGAAAGTCCAATTACCCGCATCTAAAATTAGTACTCCTTGAAAATACTTCCAACTTTCCTTTTTCGTTCGTAAAAAAAAAAAAACTTCACTTTTCCTTTTTGGTAAAGAATTTGTGGTTCACAACAATTAATACACATTTCTCTCTCCTCTGCACAATTCTCCACCACACAAAACTCAATTTCTTAATCCGTGTGTCATTTGTACCACGAAAGTAAATTCAGGGACGAGGGAGTACTACATACTACCTAAAGAATTGAAAAAGGTAATCCAAGTGAGAAAATGGGTTGGTAACTTGAAAAATAAAGTTAAGTGTTGTCAATAATCTAGGGTGAAATAGGAGTGAATATGATCTAGGGATTGGTTCCAACAGGGATTGCCCATCGCCCTGATTCATGGGATCCGATTTGAACCGATATCCGGTTCCAAGTTGGGACTGACGCTAGAGTGATAGAGTATCAGTCCCGGTTGCCAATTTAGGCGATTGTGATCGTATGGTCTTGTCCTGTATGGTCTCAACAATTACTCGTATTTTTTGAAATATTTCTCCCTACATCCCGAAAAGGTTGATCAAATTTTCTTTTTTGGGTATCCCAAAAAGATTTGTCATTTCCATTTAAAGTAAGAAATATGTGACTAAAATTAATTCTCTCTCCTATCCACAAATTTCAATCACACAGTTTTTACTTTATTAATCCACGTGAAAGTCAACTTTGGTCAAACTTTTCGGGACGAAGGGAGTATATGTTCTTAATATTTCAAACTAAACAGATTAAAACCAAAATAAATTGACCATAAGTTGACAAAACTTTCGAACACAACTACTACGTGGTCTGCATAAGCGTTAAACATAATTTTAAGGATTGATTTATGAACTTACCCTTTAGTCAAATGAGCATAGGTTTGATTTGTCAATGAAAAATACAGTCATTCCTTAACTAATGCGTGCGGCAGCCATATTCAAAGTTGAAAACATACAGAAACCATAAAAGGGTGAGAAAAGCATACATTTGAAATCTACATAAGCAACCATTAAATAAGATTTCGTTTCCCATGAAACGCACATACCCCACGTTAATGTAATGCCATAAATTGACCATTCAAAAATGTAAGGGGGCCTGACCAAAATCAACGATTGAATCAAATAAAATATTAACTCGGTCCATGGGATATTGCTAACTTTGAGCTGAATGTGCAACAAAAAAATTACATAATTGATGTTTATATAGAGAAAGAGAGAAATAAGTTGAATTAGAAATTCATTAATTTAAAAGAAAGTAACAAAAAGTTTGGGAGAAATATAAAAAAGTTGGTAATGGGAATATGGGATAGAGCGAGTATGGTCTGGAGTATTATACGCATAGGGTGTCGGGAAATGGTGTTTCAGTTAAAAAATGAAAATGATGTCCGGTAAATAGCTTCTCGACCTTTACGTTTTTGGATGGAACTGGTGAAATGAAAACGCTACAAATGACAACAATTTGGGTTACGGTTTTTAAATTCGATGTTTTCTACCAAGGATGTTTTCTTTTCGATTGAAATTTACTGGTCTGTTCTGATCTGGTCTGAACTGGTCTGATAAACGTTCGGTACTTAAAATAGTCCAAAAGAAAACATCTTAATTGTTACGACCAAACATGTAAATTATCAAACATTTTCTGACAATCCAACAACTTATTCCGCTTGTCAAACACGCCGACTCAATCCACGGTGACAAATCCGTCCGCTAAATAATACGGAGTACGTTATCCGATAATAATTGCTAAATGGCAAACACCTCCAAAATAAAAATAAAACTAAAGAAAAGTTTGCTTACACAAAAAGAATAAGAGATAAATAAATCAATAAAAAAGAAAAGGGCAAATAAATGTTTCTAGGACGTCGTCATCATATGGGGCCCACGTAGACTTTGATGGCAGCATGATGTTGGTCGGCCATATACGTAAGACAGCAACCCATCCCAACCCGAATCTTCATTCCCCGATCCACAAAAATTCTAACCAGCGTTCATTAACCACCAAGGTTTGATTAACGCTAACAACGAGACAAGGATTCGTGGGTCTGCTTTGCCACTAATATCAACCGCCCAAGGCACATCAAATGATCAAAATCTTGATTATTGTGAAAAAAATATACACGGCCCTTGTCTAATCGTTGATTAAGTCATACCGCCTTCTGACACATTGCGGCATAGGTGGGGAGATTTATAAAGCGAGCTCTTATTATCTTTTCCAATTCTGAGACGGAAATTAAAACCACAAATCAAAATTTCAAATTATGCCTTCTAAACAACGCATATTATATCGTACGACCAGTAAGGAAGCGAGCAGCAGTACTCTTCTTCGTCGGATCTGAAGGCGCTCTTCCTTAGTCGAACTACAGAGGCGGAAAATGAATAAGATGAGTCGGGATAGAGCACCAACAGCAGACTCGAGCTAATGAAAAAGTAGATGAGTTACATCTTAATGTACGCGAGTTACATATTAATATACGCGAGTTCCATCTTAATGTATGTGAGTTACACCACGAAATAAACTCCAACTATATCATTTTTATTGCCCTAATATTAAAAATAAAACATATTCACTATTTATAAAGAAGTAATTAAGCTATTAGGATCAATTTTTTATTGTTTACATTGAAATCAATATTTTTTTCGTATACTATGTATTTGATAAGTTACATCTCGAACGCACTTGAGTTACATTGATCAATAACGCGAGTTACATATCTTTACACGCGACTTACATCATTCATGCGACTGGGATAAGAAAACAACTACAGTACACGTGTGTACTGTTCACGCGTGTACTGCTCACACGATTTTTTTTTTAATTGTGCAAAACTACATCATTTTTTGGAGTGGAGTATCATGCTCAAGGTACGCCTGTTGCACCGTATACGAACTGTCTAAATAATGAGGAGTGATAAAAAACATATTAATGATGTTCTGCTTAGATTCGAGTTTTATGGTCCAATCGGGTTTGATCAGATAAATGTTTGATCATTTTGTATTTTTCAAATGTCGAAATTTAGTCGCGCACCGAACCCTAGCAATCGGTGGCGTCGATCCTTGACCAAGATCAATCGATTGAGGCGTCGCACCAGTGGGAAGGGTTGCGATGAGACCAGCGCCTTATGAGAGGGGATGCGCTGAAGGAAGGCAGGGTGTTCGAGAACTAAATTAGCAACAAAGAAACTGCGGTCGTCTCTAGGATCTTCCTAGGAGTTTTCCCGGTGGTGGCTCCGGTCACCTGACTCAGCTAGTCCCTGCGGCATCCCCGTCGACTGAAGAACAGAAAAAGATGAGCGTACTCAGTTGGATTTGCAGAGGTCTGCGAAGCCCGGTAACATTCCAGTGCTTTGCCAGTGGCGGCGGTCTCGTACGGGTGAAAGAAGACGAAGAGGTGTTGATACGCCCCCCTCCCGAAACGCCGCCATGGACGAATTGTGCAACTAGGGTTTTGAAGACTATTTCTACTTTTGATTTAGCTTGGTTGTGTTCTTACTTTGATTTTTATGTTGTTTTGTTGGTGATGTACATTTATTTTTGCCAGACTCTTGCATTAAGTTGGGGTGGTGAGAGGTTTACTCTAACCACGTTAGGCTTATTTAGACCCATTACAGGATCAGCGAGCCATATTGCTTTATTTTGGGTGATTAACTCTAAGTCTGGTTCAAGATTCGGTGGTTGGAAGTGATCTTTTTACTTTCTTGTTTCCTTGGTGAATGTTTTGATATCGATTTAAAGTCGCCTTGTTCCAAAAAAATGTCAAAATTTAGTCTAAGACTAAAATAAATTCAAGTAAAAATATCTTAATAAGAGTGGTATTACGGCAGCGGCATGAGCGGAAAATCACAAGGGCATGATGGGCTCCAACTCACCCCTGCCATTTTTTTTTATCATGAGTGTGGGTTTATAAAAAACTTTGTGTTTACCCGATTTAAAATGTAGGTCATAATTGAAGTCAGTGTGAGTTAAAAAAGATGTAGTCATTGTAATTTTAACACATTATAACTTCATATACAATAGAATATTAGAGAGTAATATCGTATACAAAAGTTTAATGTGCTGATGGTCACATGTTATACATATGGTATTACCATTAATATGATATACTGAAACAATGAAGTGATTATTTACCTAGTGCAAAATGGAGCTCAAGCTTGGCTTGATAGATTTTCATTCGAACGCTTAATAAGTTCGATAAACATGTTTGGATGTAGAAGTTTAGATTATGCTCGTTAGTAGATCAATGTTTGAATTATTCAATAAATACTCGAATATTTAATGATCATTAACAGTTTTATAAATTCAAACTAAAACGTTTAAATATAAAATTTATAAGTGATCAATTGGCTCGAGTTTGGATCAAGCCGAGCATCATCATGCTCGAACTCGACTTGAATAACTATTCGAACTAAAAATCTAACCTGTGTTCGGGTTTGAAACTCGTTAAACTCAAGTTGTTCAAAATAAGTTCGGTGAATAGTAACAATTTTTTCCTTGCTTTGTCCACATTTTCGTATCCACTCCTCAGTAGTCTTATAGGTACACTTTCACTTTCACTCCAGTTCCAAAAAATGAGTTTTTGATCTTATTTGATCTGTTTAGATTTGGTCTAATCTGATATGATAAATGTCTATGTGTATATGTGTATTTTCACAATTACAATTAAAATTTCAACTATATATATGAGTATATACTACCTCCGTCCCTTAAAACTTTGCCAAAGTTGACCGGCACGGAGAATAATAAAGTAAAAACTATGTGGTTGAGGTTTGTGCAGAGGAGAGAGAAATAACAGAAATCACAAAATAATCGATTAAAAGGGAAAGTGGCAAAGTTTTTTGGGACGTCCCAGAATGGAAAGATGAGAAAGTTTTAAGGGACGGGGGTAGTATGTATTTTACAATTACAATTGGCCAAGTCGGATCTAGTTTGATATGATCTGTTGAAGTTTAGTCCATGACTGAAATCACTCTAATTAAAAACGTCCTTAGTTCTCTAACTGGTGTGTCAATAACCACAATTTGAATTTTTTTCACTTTCAATCCTTCAACTTATGTGACAAAACACCTTTAATACATTTTTCTTCGTATTTAGTCATTTGACTTCTATAAAAGTGATATTTTAATCACTCTCCTATCTTTTTTATAAATGGAAGATTAAAAATGTCACTATGATAAGATGAATGACAAAAACCGTCACTTTTATAATAGTCAGAAGAATAAATATGAAAAAATTCAAAGTCGTTGGTCAAAAGTTTCTCTCAAACTATTCTGAGAAAAAGTAATAAAATTCAAAGTCTAATTTAATGAACGTCAATCACATAAAAATCGGGTAATTATAAATGTTTTGACCCTTCTAAATATTTAATGATAAGTTACATGAAAACGAAAAAGTAAAACTATACATAAACCCCTTATCCACAAAAAACCTTTTTAGCAAATGTCTATATAAAAGCATGCTCATTTATCACTTGTGATTGCCCTACTTCTCCCTCTCCAAAAGTTTCTCATTACAAGTTTGAACAATTGTGCTTGGTTTACCTCAAAATGGGATACTCATTTTTACCTCGCTCATTGTGTAGTTCAAATGAGGTAACCATTTAAATGAGTTGTCCAACTTAAATGAGTTGCCCCATTTGAATCACACAATAGGAGGTAAAAATGGAGTACCCATTTGTGATACCTATAGTATTTTTGTTACATTCATTGATCCCGCTACTGTTTCTATCATTTGCAATGGAGTCAAAGATTCATTATTTTTTGACTTGAGATTATGATGGAATAAAGCAAAATGACTCACTAAACTGTCTGTATTTCTTTGTTATGGAGCAATAGTCACTCCATGCAATTTTGGACACGATTTTCACTATGGGTCGTCTGGAAACAGTTTCTCTGTGCTTTAGTACAGGGGTAAGACTGCGTACATCCGACCCCCATTATCCCACCCCTTACCCCACCGTAGATGGGAGCCTTTGCGGCACTGGGTAAATGAAAATGATGATGATGATCATTGATCTCGCTACCATTTTATTTCTAATATACATAAATACCCCTGTGCTACATATTTTCTTTGTACTTCGTACTATTTAGTACTCGTATATTTCATCTATTTTATTATTCGTATTCATTTTTTCTATAGTACTTCCTCCGTTCTTTATTATTTGTCCTCTTAGGTTTTGGCACGGGTTTTAAGAGGAAAATAATAGGGGTAGTGTAAAAGGTGTAGTGAGTTGTGGGTAAATGAAAATGTAGGAAAGAGAAAGGGGTAATGGTAATAAAAGTGGGGTATAAAGGTATTTTGATTGAAAAAACTTATCAAAAAGGGAAAGAGAGACAAATAATTAAAAACGTTCCAAAAAGGAATACGAGACGGTTAATAAAGAACGGAGAGAGTATAACTATAACCTTTAAAAGTTGAATTTCTAATGTGTGTCAGAAAAGGTGCAAGCAGGTAAGAGTTTTAGCTCGCTCCAATATATTTATCCTACATTTCAATTTAAAAGAGATATGTTCTCCCTGTCCCACAAAAATTTCTTAGTTTCCTTTTTGGATCGTCCCATAAAATAGTTCTTATTTTTTCTTTTGGAAAATTTTGTGTGGCTCATATTCACTTATTTTTATTTACACAACTACAACCATACATTTTCACTTTATTTTTCACTTTTCTATACTCTGATCCTAATCAAGAACTATTTTATGTGGCGGAGGGAGTAATTAAATTAAAAGTATGACCAAAGTATGACTCACTTATTCCCCAATTAATATAGGGTTACTTTAATATTTAAAGATGGTAAAAAAACATACTAAACCATTTGAACCATTAACATTCTTTGCACTCTACCATCAAAGATATACATGGAATGTACTTTACCTGTACGAATAGTTTAAAGGTGATTGAATGAAATTGGTAGGTTGAGATCTCATGTTCAATTTCCTTGAATCATATGTGGTGATTCTTTGTGCACACCGATAAACTATTACTACCTCCGTCCCACTAAGATTGGGACAAGAGAAGGTGGCACGATTATTAAGAAAAGTGGATTTGTGTGGTTGATATTAAATTGATAAAGTAAGAATAAAGTAAGAATGATTTAGAGCCACACAATCTTTACCAAATTTGGTATGGGACAATCTTAGTGGAACTTCCCGAAAAGGTAAAATGGGACAATCTTAGCGGGACGGAGGGAGTATTTGAGATCATACTATTATCCTTCATTCCATTTTAATCGTAACATATTGAATTTTACACTATTCACATGTTCTACTTTGACTACATTTTACGCTATTATTTTATTAAAAATTATTTTTTAAAAAAATATTATTCAATTCATCTCATTACAAATATTCAAAATATGATTTTTTATATTTTTTTACTAATAGAATTAAGATATAATTACGGTCAAAGACATGCGTTGACAAATGTGAAATGTTGACCGTTGAAACTAAAAAAGAATGGAGGTAGTATAATTTACTCTCCACTATTCTATCGGCTGTGGGTGTGGGTGTGGCCTGTGGGATGCTTGAGTGGGCAATTCCACGTCCAAAAGGTTGAATCCCATAACCCTGACCCGACCCTACATGATGTTGATGGAGTAAATCACGGTGACTCAGTTAGCAAAACAGCAGTATGTCTTTATTTGTGCGCACCAGAGGGCCAACCTTAAACCTTATTTCAGGTTCTGAAAATTCACCTTTTGGCTATTGCGGGATTCGAACTTTGGTCTACGTCCAATTTTTGTTGAAGGTATGTAATTTTATTAATATTGGATTAATTAAAGACTCTTAAGTAAATTCACATTAGATGAACCCGTGCGGCTGGTCTTCCATTTGACACGTCACTGGTTGGATGGGTGTCACGCTCTCTCACTGCGCGTGGTCTCGGGAGAAATACTGTCATGCGTATAGTACATCGTAATGCTTTTATGGTTGTTGATGATTCATATTCTACATTTTCGATTGATAAAATATGGTGATACGATTCATTCAATTCAAAAGCTGCAGCTACCTTTGAAACCAGCTGTGTTTTTGTTTGTTTCAGTTTTACCCTCTCCTCTTTTCCCTGTCTGTCTCGCTATAATACACACACGCCCACCACCCTTGTGGGTGTATTCACACATCTCTCTCCTTCCCTGCCTTCAAAGCTCTGTTTTTTGCTGCATTAATTCCAGAAAGCCCAGCCATGATTAAGGTATCCTTCTCGATTTCCACTCTTGTTCTGTTTCTTGTCGCGATTTACAAGTTTTTTTTGTTATGTCAGATTATATAGAGATATCGTATGATTCCAGGTTGCCAAACTGAATTACTTCCCCCCCTTTTGTTTTTCCACTCTCCATTTCAGTTCCCATCTTTTTGTTTCAGATTCTTTAGGCTCACTGTGGAAGAAAGGAGGGATTTTGGGTCTTTAGTCTCTGTTGGTCTAGACTCTAGAGAAGAAACATAGAACGAGAACCATGGGTTGGTTTAAGTAAAAGAAAATAGGGAGATCCCATGAATTATTAAAAGATTACAAATTTCTTCAAATAAGACTAATTTCTGTTTTTGTCGAGGCTCATTCAGCCCTCAAAAGAATTGTTTACCATTTTTATTTTACTTGTAGCCTTTTAGGACTGAACTGAGCCATATATTGTAGAATAACACAAAATTACCACTTATGTTTTGATGCCTTGATGGCTTAGTGAGCAAATTTTTAGGACAAAGAAATGGGTGTGAAGGAGTTGGAGATGGCGAAATAACAAAGACAAGTGGAGTATATTTTGTGGGTTGTTTGGTGAGGGAATTTGATAAGAACATGAATCGTTATTTCTACTATTTTTCTTCTTCTCAACTTCTCCCCTTCCATTTCTTGTCTAAGTTCTTGAAATGTTATAATACACACCTTATATGTTGGCTTATCTTTATATTTGAACATTTGCATTGTTGCAGAAAATTATTGTGAGATTGGAGCTTTCAGATTTCAGCGACAAACGTAAGGCATTCAAGAGGGTATCTACTCTTCCAGGTATCTAAAGTCATACTTAAGCTCCATTGTGTTCTTATCGTTTTCTTTATAGTTTAATCCTCATTTTAATTATGGGAGTACATGATCATATCTTCATTTGTTTATAGACAACTAGATGGTGAAAAACTATCAAGTGCGTGACCACCTATGAGCTTGACTTTGTTTCCTAATACTTGGTTATAGTAATAAATTATGTTTAAAGGGAAATTTTAAGGGATTACTATTGGATTTAATAAGGAAATCTCCTTTTCATGTCAGCTGGCACCATTCTTTATTTCTCACATATTAATGGTGGCTGCTTTTTATCTATAAATGGGAACACAAAAGCCAAAATTGCCTTGTGACAGGATGCCACCTCAGGTGGGGCCTCAATATTGTCCAACTACGGGTCCTCTCAAGTTGTAATGCAACTTGTTTGAGTGAAGAAACTGTGGACATATTTGTCATTTTCTCCTACAGAAACAAAACTTTTGGTTTCTCCCCAGTTACCCTATAGGATAGATAGTCTTGTGATCATAGTTTACTCTCATCAAATGGCAATGGAAATCATGATTTCCCCCACTTGTCCCATATGCTAAGGTTTATGGCACAACTGTTTGAGTTTCACATCATACAAATAAATATAAGATTATGATGTGTTAATAAGATCTTGAGTTTAGTTAAAAAAGCGTCTGAATTCAATATTTTAATATAGTTTAACATGATGAGAAAACAGTTTTTTCCTATAACATTACTAAAATAATAGTCATAGACAAAATCATTAAACTATGGCTTCTTAGTCTCTAGGAGGATACCACAATTCTTAGTGTATTGTAAAATCACATTCAGTCATTACACATTGGTCATTGCAGTCACTTCAAAAGTACCTTTATTGTCACTACATAGTAGAAGCCTTGATAGTTTTTTTGGCCAACTAAATGCAGGAATAGATGAAATTTCCATAGACATGAACAGTAAGCAACTAACAGTCATTGGAAAGGTTGATCCTGTGACTGTGGTAAGCAAACTGCGCAAATATTGGAAAACCGAGATTATCTCTGTAGGGCCCGCAGTTGTAGAACCCGAGAAGAAAGAGGAGGCGAAGAAGGAAGAACCTAAAAAAGAGGAGGAAAAGAAAGCGGAACCGCCTAAGGAAGAAGGTAAGAAAGAAGAGGCACCCGCACCCAAGGATGAAACAAAGAAAGAAGAGGGGGATGCAAAGAAGGCAGCAGAAGCACCACCACCGGCTGCACAACCCGTGATGGTAATGCCTTACAGGCAGTACTACTATCCTCCAATGAACACATACTATTATGGTCACCACCACAGCATTGAAGAGAATCCTAATGCTTGTGTCATCTCTTGAATCCACGGTGGGTCCTATTGTATCATGTTTTTCTAAGGAAAGGACATTTCTCTGAAACAGATATGTGTTTAAAATTTAAACTATGGGCCCTGTCAATGGAGATACTTGTCCTTTCATTAGTAAAAATGGCATATTTATATATGGTATCCCTCTTTTGTTGGTGTTGGGTTTTCTTATTGGTACAAACCCAACTGAGGTCACATAAATATAAGCCAAGAAGCTTACCATTTGTACAGTATTTGACGACGATGATGATGTTCTATTTTGTCTATTCATTATCAAGTGTTGTGAAGAGAACCAAGTGAAAATTGTGAAATTAGCTTCATTTGTGCATTGTATATTTTGTATGGGGCACTCTTGTCTTCCTATATTTGGAAACCATAGTCAATATTAGATGTTTATAGCATAACGTTTTCTATTTGATAGAACCTATTTGCTTGTTCCTAAAAGATCTTTGTCTGGCCTGAGAAGTTGCAAGATAGTTGAATTCTTGGTGACAAGTCATTTTATGGGTGTAGCCTTCAATTATCCACCCCCCACCCCCACCCCCCCCCCCCCCAATTTCTGACATACCCCCACTTAAATTAATCAATGCAATTGCCAAGATAACATTACAAATGGACAACTGGCCTATGAGAATAGTTGCTGGTTAGTTTCATAGACATTAATGCTGCCTTTTACCCCAAATGGAAACTCCAGCAATTAAGCAAGAGTGCCTGCCCGTCTTTGCTTTTATAGTGTTCCTTTATTTACTCGCTAAATGCAAACCATAATCGTCATGACTCTTAACATGGTTTGGGAGCCATAGCAATCATACTATCATAGTGGTAGGTACTTCATACTCCGTATGAAAAATAGATGTTGGTCGTGATGGAGGTGTTGAAGCTATTTACATTACATAAACATCCCGATTATGCATCATTGAAAGGTGCATTAACATATACGGCACCCATGGAGGTAATAAGAGGCAAGATGAAAGTGCCACAGGAGGTGGATCATCCTGAGAGGTATCTGATGGTATTGTGGCAAAGAGAAAATTATCTTCAAAAAATTTGACATCGCGGGAGACAAAGAATTCCCGAGTTTCAAGATCAGACTCTCCACCCTTTCTTGCCACAAGGGTATCCAACAAAGAGACATTTCCGACTGCGACTAACAAATTTATCCCGAGCTGAGCGAAGGTTATGAGCAAAACATAGGCAGCCAAAGACCCGAAGTGCCTCATAATTAGGTAATTTTTTAAACAAAACTTCGTAGGGACTCTTATGATCAAGAATGGCAGACGGGGTGCAATTAATAAGATGTGTTGCAGTCAGAACGCATTCTCCCCAAAATTGGATCGGAAGATGCGCCTGAAATCTCAAAGCTCCCTCGAGCAACGTTGAGTATGTGTCGGTGCTTGCGTTCCACACATCCATTTTGTTGAGGTGTGGCAACACAAGAAGTATGAAAAAGAATGCCCGAGGCACTAAAAAATCCTTAAGACAATTGAATTCCGTGCCATTATCACTACACACCACTTTAATTTGTTGAGAGAACTGTCTATCCACCATGGCGCAAAAGGACATAAACATAGAAAACACCTCAGTTTTATCTACTAGCAAATAAACTCAAACAGCACGAGAAATCATCAACAATAGTTAAAAAATGTCGTGCTCCACAAAACGTTGGGGTATTGTACGGACCCCACAAGTCACAATGTATAAGCTCAAATGTATGTTTGGATTTACTGTTACTAGTAGGAAAAGACTCTCTGGTATGTTTAGCTCGAAAACAAACATCACATGGTTGACTAATAATATGTTTAGTGCCACTTACACCAGGTAGCCATTTCATTATTGTCTCAGACGGATGTCCTAGCCGACGATGCCAAACATCGATACAACCTTCTTCTTTGTGTACCCCAAAAATTTGTGCTTCAGCAATATCTCGAAAGTAGTACAGTCCATTCCGCCTTTCACCCGCTCCAATCAGCCTCCTCGAGCGTCGGTCCTCTATAGCACAAACATTAAATGTGAATTGAACAAAACAATCGAGATTATCAGTCAGTTGGGAGACAGAAATAAGGCTATGATTCAATTTGGGAACAAACAACACATTATGTAAGCATATCGCATCAGATAAACAGACAGATCCTCATTTAGTGGCTTTGACTTTTTGGCCATCCGGAAGTCCTACCGAGCATGGATCAATTTCTGTGATATCATGCAAGTGAGAAAAATTTCCCGTAACATGATTGGTAGCCCCTGTATCAATAATCCAGGACAGAATATCAAACGTACCAGATACCCGATCATTATTTGTATTAGTTTTACCAAAAGCAGTAAAAAAAGCCTTCCACTGTTCTTGCGTAAAACCAGGGATAAGTCGGTCCTCCCCAAATTGACATGTCCCCTTATCTTCGCTGGAGCTATTTCGGCTAGAGAGAGACGCTCCGTCCACCGCCACAGCGTGAGCTCGAGCACCACCGCGACCTCAACCTGCGCTTGTACCACCGCGTGCGACTAACCTTCTGCCACGTTCACTGCTGTTTTTCGACGCATAATTGGGCCGGTCTCCCCGCCAATCTGGGTAACCGACAATCTCAAAACAGCGCGAGATCTCGTGCCCCGGAAGGTTGCAGTGGCCACATACGACGCCGGATTTGTCTGTCTTTCCTGGTCCGGCTCTGTGTCATCCATCGGTGTTGACTGCGAACCCCAACACTTCTCTGTCATCACGGGTTTGACCTATGCTTCGAACTCGCTCTTCATGGCAGACCTGCTGATAGGCCCGATTCAGCGTTGGCAACGGATTCTGGGTAAGCAATTGAGATCGAACAGAAGCAAAGGATTCCGATGAGAGACCCATGAGAAACTGGTAAAACCGTTCGGACTCTCTTCTCTTCTCTAGTTGGGCATTCAATTCACATGTACAACCATTACACTTGCAGGCAGGTATGGGTTCAAGCATGTCCAAATCGTCCCACAATGTTTTCAATTTCCCGTAGTACGTTCCCACAGTCATCCCTTTTGGCTATTCGAATCGAGCCAAGTCAGTTTTGACTTGGTGAATTCGGGGACCATCAACCATGGAATACCTTTCCTTAAGGTCAGTCCATAATGGATGGGCATTTTCATAGTTTGTTAAAGTGTGTTTTAAATCGGGAGAAACTGTGTTGAGTAGCCAAGAGACAATCATTGACTGAATTGTCATCCAATCATCTTCTGTGCAGGGGGGTTTCGGTTTCAATAAGGTGTCATCGACGAAACAATACTTACGTCTTGCACGGAGGGCCAACCGAATTGAATTCGACCATTCATCGTAGTTGTCACCGTTCAACTTGACTGGGGTAATGAAATCCCCCGGCTGGTCTTGCGGTCCAATATAGTATGGTGAGTTGTGATCGATTTTTGAAGCGACTGCTGCCTCATCGTTTCCGCCCGCCATGAATGGTCCCTGCGTTGCTACTGTCTTCCCCTAACGGGGTGCTCTGATACCATGATATAAAAGCAAAGTAGGAAGAAAATAGTTTTATTATTCTGCTCAATTCTGTATCTTACAACCGAGATGCTCTGGAGTATAAATATACTCATTACATATTAATACAAGGAAAGAAGATATTATAAATAAATGCTAATGAATGACATGATCAAAAATACCAACAACCCTAAAATAGGTATCTCTCGTAATACGTAAACTATAAAGAGTCAAAGTAGATTATCCCATATCAGTACATTTGCGTGAAAACTCCTCATAGGAAGTGGTAGAGCTATACCCTATCGGGTCCCATCTCAAGTTCCGTTTCCAATTAGTGATTCAATGGTCATTCATCAAATCCATTTCGGGCAGTCGGATTAGGACTGAATACAAATTCCATAGAACTTGCTAATTAATTAAGAAAGAGTTTGTTAATCATTATGAGAGTTCATAATAATAGAAAGGAAGAATTGAAAATAATAATGAAACAATGGCTAAAATATAACTTGTAGAGTTTGATTAGACAAAAATATGATCACTTTATGTCTGGACAAAAATATCACTCATTTTGAATTAAACGTAATCCACCTAGCCCATTGATTTCATCGATCAAAGTAGCTCTCTCCTTCAACTCTACCTCCGCAGAGGCATCATCCACAACATCATCGTTGCAGACCGGCCACCTACCTCATCATCGCCGCTCACCATAGTCGCCCTCTTTCTCCCGTCATTGCCCTCCCCTACCCTGCGTCAATTTTGCTTTTTCTTCCCTTTATGTCTGCTGAGTGGGGAGGCTGAAAGGGATCGAATCGGCGTCGTCGCCATTAGTGGAGGCGTGTGTATTACCAGATGGCGTCCTCATCGCAGGTTCGACACATGAGAAGGGCATGAACCATAATTTTAATGTCCTGTAAATAATGCTCCATAGATTGAGACTCCTTCTTTTTAGTATGAGACAACATACATTTAAGCTTCATAGAACAAGCTAAACTAGCAAACATAAAATGTGTTTGCAATCTTTCCCAAATACCCGAAGAGTGTTTTACATCATTTACATCAATTAGGACATCACGATGAAGAGTAACAAACAATCATGAACGAATTGTTTGATCCACCCTTAAACAGTGATGATATTTGGTATTAGGGACTTGACGATTATTAAAATCAAAGATGTACATGGAAGGTACCAGGATGGAGCCATTAGTCATGCCAAAAAGACCCTTGGACACCAAGAACAACCCGAACTGAGTCCGCCTTGTGAGGTAATTGTCAACCGCTTTCAGCTTGGTAGTAACAATTTGTGACACATTGGCAGTAGAGATGGGCTACACAAGAGAGGACATTGGTTACCCAAACATGGTTGAGGTTTCGGTTCAAGGGCGCATGACTCCAGGGGTTCGAGAAAATGTGGACCTGAAGAAAGAGGAGCCTGGTAGCATCTGCTGCGAAGCGGGGATCACCGACCGTGGGTTGGCGTTCTGCCACGGTGGGAATTTGCGAGGTAGCGTGTCAAACATGGAGAAGGTGCTGCTCATGGGAAAAGGAGGGAGCGTTGATGTCGAGAGCGTGGGAGAAGAAGGTTGAGGGTGCAACAGCGAAGCAACGGAAACATGGAACAGAGAAGACGTGGCAGCGGCAGAGCTTGTATGGCCCATCATCGTCGCAAAGGAGGAGAAGGCATCTTAAGAAAAGGACACTGAGCCTGAGCTAGAAGCCATGGCGGCAGAAGTAGTCGCGCCAAAGGCGATGACCAACGAAGGATTCATGGTTGCGGCGGGTAAGGTTTAGAGAGAGAATTAAGGGGAAAAAATAGGTATTTTCATGTGCTCTTGATAACATGTGAAATAATGGAAAAGATTCCTTCAATAGGAGCTCTAACAAATATATTTATAATAGAAGAAGAGTTTCCAAAATACAAAATATTTCTAAATAGATATTAGGCATATTCCTAAATAAATATTAGGCATGTTATTGGCTAGTGGTTATGTATTCA